CAGGAATTACTCCTGGACCATATGGGATGCTGGGAACTGAACCAGGGACGGCCACATGCAAGGCAAACACCCTCCCCGCTGTACTATTGCTCAAAACAGCTGAAATTTCTAACTCCCTTTTGTCTTCTGAAAAAAATAGAAATATATGCTTCCTTATTAAAATGAAATACAGAGCCCAGAAAGATAATACAGGTATTGAGAACTTGCCTTGCCCACAATCAACCCCAGTTCCACGCCAGGCACCACATACAGTCCCCAACTAGGGCCATTATTGATCTCTTGAGTACAGAGTCAGAGGTAATCCCTGAACACTGCCAGGTGTGACCCACCTCCCAAGCCTCCCAGAAGGAATTAATACCTCTGATCTCCTCTCAGTCATTAGAATAAATTAGATCCATTCAAAGACAATGCTGCTCACTTTAGAACTATATTTCATAATATTAGAAAATAGAAAAGCTAGAGAATGCACTCTAGTGGTGGCCTTAGCGGTGGCTTAGTTGTTATGCAACCCAGGTTCATGTAGTTGTTTGGCTTATAGACAGCTATGCCTTAGCAAAGTCCTGCACCTCATCAAGATGTTTGTGACATGAAAACTGTTGTCCATCTTTAGGAAACTCTTAGATCTGAGTGAACATGTCCTTGACTCTGACCCATGTGGGCATGTCTAGAATTCCAATGGTATTGTGGAATGTAAGGTGATAGATATTGTATGACATGATGTAATCATAAAGTTGCATAATATACCTGGCTAATTTGTACTCTGCCTTCCATAGTTGTAGAAAATATTTGGTAACTTGTTCAGAAATTACAGAAAAGGACTCACTGTGGGTAAACTTAAGTCAGTAAGAAAGATTAGTCATGGGTATATCTTACTTTCTCCATTTATCTATGCTCTTAAATATTTTTTTAAAATTTTCTTATAGTTTGTTCTCTTCTTATTTATTCTACTACTTACAGAAGGTTTAGAAAATGAGGATTTCACAAGGTCCAGCCAAGAAATCAGTTGCATAGGCTATTCTCACTACCAAGTAGTGAACCACTCAACCACTCAACAAGTGTAAAGTTTCTGTAAGAGTAAAACAAGTCACTATGTACAGTGCTCAAGTCACAAGTCACTACGTACAGTGTGTGAGAAAGAAAAGAACTTAAAAGAGTTTAGGAAAGGTAAAGAAACACAAGAATAAGAAGGAAAGAATCAGTTTTATGAGAACTAAGATCGTAGTATGTGTCATCAAGAATCAACCATAATGATTTACACTAACAAAGTAAAACAATAAAGTTCTATACTGAAGTACATTCATGGTATAAACTGGAAGTAAATCCTTGCCTTTAGAATGTCCAAAAATCAGCAGATTCAATTATAAAGAAAAACAGTTACCCTTAATTTTTACTATTGAATCATTATTTTCCAATCAAAAGAATTATGAGAAGAATATGCTACATTAAATTCCTAATATATAACATATATTGAATTACATTAATGTAATCAACAAGATACATGATCATAAAATAATTTTGCCTATTTACCAAAATGCACTGGATTCATGTTATGATCTAGAAAATGCTAGTCTTGATTAGGTGCTAAATTTAGTAACAAAGACACATTCTGAAGTACTTTTTGTTTTTTAACAAGTTGAAGAGGAATCTCGAATCGAAAGCTCATTACTAGTTCTTGTTGTGAGTATGATTATGGAAAGAGACTTTGGGAAAAGGCTTTCCCCAAGGTCATTAACATTTTGCATCATTCCTTTAAAAAAAGACCTTATAAGTAGTAGAGAAAATTACATCTATTGCCAGAAATACTGTAAAATGGCCCATTTCAGTAGACAAAAGAGAAGACCATAAAACAAGCTTGATTGCTACCAATCTTTCAGTGTTGGCAGTCAGAGATTTGGGGAATTACCAATTTTTCTCTAAGAAATTTTCATGACACATTTACTTTGTCGTGGAGAATTACATCCAATTATATCAACGAACATACGAAATACTCAAGCAAATCTCAAGCTCTGGACAAGACTGGTGAGAATTTTTTCCCTCTAAAGCTAATAAAAATATTTTAAATGCCTATAATATAATTGCAAGTTACCTTCGTCAAAAGTAATTGTAAAGGTAAATTGTTTTAAACTGATAAAAGAGCAAAATTCAATTATACATGGCTCTGAGACAGGATAACATGATTTTTAATAAAACATATCAATAAATAAAACAAATTGAAGAGTTATTATGCACCAAATGCTTAGGAAATCACTGTAACTGTCCTCCCATTGTTCATTGATTTTCTCGAGCAGGCCCAGTAGCGTCTCCATTGTGAGACTTGTTGTTACTGTATTTGGCATTTTGCATACGTCACAGGTAGCTTGCCAGGCTTTGCCTAGAGGGCAAGAAACTCTCGGTAGATTGCTGGTCTCTCTGAGAGGAATGGAGGAATCGAACTCGGCTTGGCAATGTCGGCTGCATGCAAAGCAAACACCTTACTGCTGTGCTATCGCTCCAGCTTAGGAAGTTTAGGAGGAAATTTCTTGAGATAAATATTGCTAGGAAGGATCAAATAATTTCTTCTATTCTTTTGCTTATGAAAAAGACCAGGAGGTGCAAAGGAACCCTGAATTCCTACTAAGCCTTCTGTATGCAGTCATTCACTCCACTGTGTGAAGCTGTCTCTCTGCCCCAAGAATAGTCAGACCACTAATGATTATTCAATGAACTCTATTAGACAAACCTTAGAAAACACAGCTTTGTATTTTTTCCAAGATAGGCAGTGTCAGGTATAATGTTGCTATAAGGTGAGTTGAGGGTACAGAATTTGAGTTTTAAGCAAAAGACTTTTGTAGTTCTCAAGTGATGTTGCCTTAGGGTAACAAAATTCTTATTATTATGCAACATGCAGTGTAATACTTCCATAGTCTGGAGTAAATAGTTTTTATACATAGATTAGGTTGAGTAATAAATATAAGATCCTTTGGGACCAGAGCAATAATAATACAACAGGTAAGGAACTTGCCTTGCATGTTGCTGTAGCAGGTTCAATCTCTGGCATTCCAAATGGTCCCCCAAATATTCCAGAAGGGATTCCTGACTGTAGAACCAGGAATAACCCCAAAGCACTGCTGGGTGACCTCCCCCCCTTAAAAAAACCATTAAAACAAAACAAAGAAAAAAAAACAAATATAAGATCCTTTGATCAAAGTTATTCTGCACACTTTCCATACTCATACATTCAAATTCTAATTGGCCCACAAGAAAGGGTGAAATTTTCACTACCAACAGTTTATCCATTTTATTCAATAATTTTCTCCTCTCAAATCCGTGTGAAGGATCTTTCAGTGACAATCTCTTTCAGAAACACAAAACACTATGGACTTTGACAGGGTCAGGGAAACAGCTCAGGGATCAAACACCTTAATATCAGGCCCTCTCACTGATGCTAATCATCACCAGGAGAGACCTCTGGGCTCCCTGGGCACTGGAGAGGAGCACCCAAAATAAACAAAAGGAGTTGGAAACTTGAAATATTAAAATGGATCTGTTATGGAATGGGTAGACTGAAGGTCGAAGATCAGGGTCTCATTTTACCTTCTTTGTATAGCAAGTAAATCTTTGAAATGTTAAGAAAAAGTAATTCCTGTTATTACCTCAAACAGAGTTTATTTAATTATTTTTTTATCTGGGGCCACACCTAGTGGTGCTAAAGGATTACTCCCAGCTATGCACTCAGGTGTTTGGAGGGCCATATGAAATTCTGGGAATTGAATCCTGAATGACCATGTGCAAGACAAGTGCCCTACCTACTGTATTACCTTTCTGGTTCCTCAAACACTGAGTTTAAAGATGGAGAAACTGAGACATCAATTATTTCTCATCAAATAGACTTTTGCTTTCAGCAGTTTTCTTTTCTTTTCTTTTCTTTTCTTTTCTTTTCTTTTCTTTTCTTTTTTTTGTAGTTTACCTGCTCTTATTTATATGTTTCTCAATGTTTGATAGCTCTTCTTTGTGTACTTGACCAAAATCAGTGGCAGAAATAATTGTTTTATAATGGATACCTGTTGAACGGAGTGCCTTATGTCATTAAAGAACGAAAGAAAGTCCATGATGTTAAATGATTTCTCTATAATTACCAGACTATTATCTTATTAGATGGCTTGTAACATTTTGGTCCTAGTTGTTCTAACCTTCTTTTGACTATAAAAATTTGGTATCAAAAAGGGAGACATAATAAATGTACATAAAGTTAGTGTTTAGCAGGAAGAAAAACCTGCACACGTACTGAACAGAACTACTTGGAACAGTCAGAGTAATAGAGGAGAAAGGTGATCGTATATTAAAATTTCTGTTTCAAAGAATGACAAAAAAATATAGTAAGATATGCCAATTCTGACTAAATTATCCTTACCAAGATTCTTTTTGTTTCCTTTTTATTTTTTGAGCCACATCTTGTGGTTCCCATGGCTTACTCTGACTCTGTGCTCAGGGATCACTCTTGGCTGTGGATGATCAAATTTGATGCCAGGATTTGAATTTAGGTCTGGGGAGTACAAGGCACCTTACCTTACTGCACTATCTTACTACACACCTTACCTGTACTATCTCTCCAGTCCAAATTTTACTATATTTCAAACACAGAAATTGTCTCCAAATCATATTGAAGGCCTTGTAGAGAGTAAGACTACAATTTTAGAAAAAAAAAAGGCAAATATTCATATCAGATAATGGGGGTGAAACTCTTCATAAGGTCTGTGACTTAGTGTATTTTCTTTATCTCCAAGAATGTAGTTTGCTCACCTAAATGTGCATATCATCATATGTAGATCAGATCATCTTGATATTTAGGTGGATCTCATTATATTCAAATATAAATGTTATATAAAAGCAAAGCCTCACATTTTTTCTGAACAGTCACAATTGTTCTTTTGTTTAGAATTAGAAATAATTATTATTGGTCTTTGTCATGTTTTCTTGCAGGTAATTTGTCTCTTGTAAAGTTGGCCTGCTAGAGGACTTCCATGGAAAGAATCAACAATGTGACTATATTTGTATTCTGGGGTCTTTCTCAGAACAGAGAGGTAGAAGAAGTATGTTTCCTAGTGTTTTCTTTGTTCTACACAGTCATTCTTTTTGGGAACCTTCTCATCATGCTGACAGTTTGTGTGGGCAACCTTTACAATTCTCCTATGTATTTCTTTCTCAACTATTTGTCATTTGTGGATATTTGCTACTCTTCTGTCACAGCTCCTAAGATGATTGCTGACCTGTTATCCAAGAGAAAAACTATTTCTTATGTGGGGTGCATGTTGCAACTCTTTGGGGTCCATTTCTTTGGTTGTACGGAGATCTTCATCCTCACTGTAATGGCCTATGATCGTTACGTGGCAATCTGTAAGCCCCTGCACTATATGACCATCATGGACCGGGAGAGATGCAATAAAATGCTGCTGGGAACCTGGGTAGGAGGTTTTATACACTCTATTATCCAAGTGGCTCTGGTGGTTCAGTTGCCTTTTTGTGGACCCAATGAGATTGATCACTATTTTTGTGATGTTCACCCGGTGCTAAAACTTGCATGTACTGACACATATGTTGTTGGCGTTGTTGTCACAGCCAACAGTGGCACCATTGCTCTCGGGAGCTTTGTGATCTTGCTCTTCTCCTATACCGTCATCCTGTTCTCTCTGAGAAAGCAATCGGCAGAAGGCAGACGCAAAGCCCTCTCCACCTGTGGTTCCCACATCGCTGTGGTCATCATCTTTTTTGGTCCCTGCACTTTCATGTATATGCGCCCTGATATCACATTTTCAGAGGATAAGATGGTGGCTGTTTTTTACACTATTGTCACACCCATGCTAAATCCTCTCATTTATACACTGAGGAATGCGGAAGTAAAGAATGCAATGAGGAAACTTTGGAACAGGAAGGTTTTTTGGGATGCTAATGGTAAGTAGTTGAAATTTAAACTGAATATTACATTTACTCCTTTGTACTATTGATTATAATACCAATCTTCTGGGGGGGGGGTGGTTATTTGTTTTTGGAGTGAAAATAGGTATCAGAGAATAACCCACTCAACAAAAATAAAATATTTGCTATTACTATGCTTGTGCTAATATTTCATAGTAGTGATAATTTTCTGGAATATATAAGCCTTATAAGTTTGATTAAGCTCAGATAATAAAGCACGATACAATTTTCCCTTTTTATTTTTACTATTTGCCTTCTTAAAAGAATGAGACGTTACAATGAAATACAAAATGTTTAACACTGAGTTTTGGTGTTTATGCAATATATTCGTAAGGACCATTAAATGAGTATATGCTACATAAACAAGAGTATAATGAAGCTTTACAGAGATCTGAAATAACACATTTTTATATGAAGTACTCTGAAACAGACTTAGGAAGGTAAAATGGGAGGAGTGTGCAGTAAGCGAAAGTGATAAAAAGTACAGGCTTAAAAGCAAAGATTGTGTCACATTTTCTTATCATCTAGGAAAGCTCTTCCTTATTCTGAGACTCATTTTCAAATAATAAGAAAGTTGAGAGATATTATCAATTTTTTTATTGAATAACAGTGAAATAGACCCTTACAAAGCTGTTTATGATTAGGTTTCAGTCATACAATGTTCCAACACCCATCCCTCCACCAGTATATACTTCCCAGCACTAGTGTCCCCAGGTTGCCTCCTATCAATCACCCTCCAAACCCCCACATCCCAACCTGCCTCTATGGCAAGCACATTTCTTTTCTACTCTCTCTCTCTCTCTGTCTCTCTCTCTCTCTCTTCCTTTTGGATATTGTGATTTACAATACATATACTGAAAGTTTATCAGGAATATCCCTTTACCTACTTTTAACATGTAGTTCTTTTCCAACTTGATCATTTCCAGCTATTAAATTTTCCCTCCTTACATGTTTTAATCCTGTTGTGGATTCCACCAGGCCTCATTCTGGACAAACTAATATAATGTTCTTATGTAGAAAAGATAATATCTTTCCTGGTTATATACATCTTCCTTCAATTCACTTTTATTTTGGGTAGAGAAGATGAAGAGAGTCACCAAGCTTTTCTCAGGAGGCCCCATGCCCCACCTCAGTAAAGACAGTATTTCAATGAAAGGGCCTGATGATGTGATGCTGCTTGGGCACTGTGATTCCAACAATCACTGGCTATACCCTGAGCACTCTCTCTCTCTCTCTCTCTCTCTCTCTCTCTCTCTCTCTCTCTCTCTCTCTCTCTCCTTCCTCAGAATAAAACCAGAATTAGTCTTCTGCAAGGCATGTGTCTTAACCCCCTACTTACTCTCCAGCTTACTGTTCACTATTTTTTTAATAGAAAATGGACACACATTATCTCTCTTTACTTAAATATAATCATTCAGCTTATCTAAGCCTGATATTGTATCACTGCTGTGGAGTGTGCATGTGAGTGCTGACTCGCAGTGCTCATACATGTTTGTATACCTTATTGTATTTTACATAGTTGGTGTTTTTTTAATTTATTTTTAATTTAATTTTTATAAAGTGGTTTACAACGATTTAATACATTCAATATTTCAACAGCAATTCTACCACCATTACACCTTCCCACCATCATAATTTCAAAATTTCCCAACTACCCCCAAGCCTGCCCCAACCGCAGGCCCTAAATAATTTTATTTTGTATTACTTGTTATGATTAATTATGAATAATTTGATAAAAATGAATGAATAATTTGATAAAAATGCTTTTAAAAAGTTTTCTTATAAGAATGTATGTGAAGACTATTGTATCTCACCCTGGAGCCATTAAACCATGAAGCTATAGCACAGCAGGTAGGGAGTTTGCCTTGCATGAGGCCAGATTCGATTCCTCTATCCCTCTTGGAGAGCCCGGCAATCTACCGAGAGTATCCCGCCCACACAGCAGAGCCCGGGAAGCTCCCCGTAGGGCAACATCTTATACTCCACACCACTGATGTACCAGAACTCTCTCTCTTTCTCTAATATAGATAGATAGATAGATAGATAGATAGATAGATAGATAGATAGATAGATAGATATGCACACAAGGCTCAGTCTGTAACCACATGTTAGTAATCTCTTACAGCACGGTAGCTAACACTGTCCTCCTGTTCATTTATTTGCTCGAGTGGCTCCAGTAACGTCTCCATTGTGAGACTTGTTGTTTCTGCTTTTGGCATATAGTTGGTGTTTTATAACTTCTCTCAGGCTAGGGCCAGAAAGAGTTCAAGACACTTACTGTTTGCTTTGCATATTGGAGGTAGAAGTTTGATGGCCAGTAGGACATACTCCCTGAGCACTGCTGGCAGTGACCACTGAGCACAGAGCTGGGAGTAGCACACAAGCACCACCAGATATAGCTCACAAATAAAACAAAGCAAAAATTCTCTGATGTTGGTATATTCACAGAGTCAATAATAGTAAAAATCAAAGGGCAACATGATTCTTCAGTTAGGAATTAGGGAAATATTGGTGTCGAATCACACAAGTTTATGTTTCTTGTATCCAAGAAACTTGGACTTCTAGTCACTAATACTGTCTGGGTTTCCATTTCCTCAAATGAATGCCTCTCCAGCTAGGCTTATCATTTGAAATCACAACCTGGGAAATTTTTAGCAGAGATCATTTCAGTTTGTATTTCAGAATCTAGCAAACAGAGTTTAAGAGTTTACCCCAAAATAGGTATTTTCAACACAGTTTAGTAAGTTTCAAACAGTGTCTCCCAGGTCAGAGGTTTGGATATACTGTTGTCCTCCTGTTGTTCATCGATTTGCTCGAACGGGCCCAGTAACATCTTCATTGTGAGACTTCTTGTTACTGTGTTTGGCATATTGAATACTCTCAGTAGCTTGGCAGGCTCTCCAAGAGAGGCAGAGGAATCGAACTTGGCTCGGCCAGGCTGGCTGCATGCACGGCAAACGCCCTACCACTGTGATGTTGTAAGAATTAAAAATATAAATGAGTCAATGGAATCTATAGAGTCCTGACTTTGGATATATATACCCATATATCTGTTAATCAATACAAAGGGACATAAAATAGAAGTGAATTTTAAATACTATAGAAATAAATAGCATCCATTTGATTATTCTTTTCCACATCAATCTTTCCTTTATATATTTGCGCTAACATCTCCCAGTTTCCATGGCTATTAGTTTGGGACATTCAAACTTTCATTCCATATATATATGGCTACTATTCTGTGCTGGGGTTCTGGCCAGTCGATCTCCGGCAAACTGGAGTATGGACCCCAAAGTCGCTGGTCTTACTCCCTAAAGGGGAGGGAGTGTGTAAGGGAGAAGCCTCTTCCCTGGCCCTCTGTGCACCATGGGATTCCAGGATTCCTGGATTTCTGCAACAGAGCGGGGGAGTCAGGTGGTCAAGCAGTTCTCCTTTTATTGGCCCCTACACAGGAGTTCTTATAGTACACTTGGGGGGTGGGTAATCCCACACTCAGAGAGGAGACCAATCCCATGTACAGGGTGTTTCTCAGATAGGGCTCATACACATGTCAGTTAATGATTTACATATCCTGCTCTAAGGGCCAGGTTAACAATATGTGTATTTTGCAGAAATGCATCCAGTCCCTGCAGTAGGTTAACGGTGCTAGGCCAACCCAGGTGGGAATAGGTTTTGTGCCTTGGCCTGTTCCACCTTGTGGCCTGGTAGCCACCATCCTCCAGAGGCCACTGGACAATCAGATTTGGGCCTGTAGTGATGAGACACATGGGGCCTCACAGGATGGGGGTGGAGCCGGCCCTTTTCTCCCCATCCCAATGAGACCCTGAGTCACCGCCCACAAACGGCTTCTCTGGCTCCTGATCAAGCTGTTTAACGACCATGATCCCAGAGACTCAGAAACAAATCTCGGAACCCAGAGACTTTTGGCAGAAATGCATCCAGACCCCTCAGTAGGTTACTGTCACCAGGCCACCCCAGGGGGGAAAGGATGTTGTCCCTCCACCTGCTCCCCCTAGGTGGCTTGGTGGCTGGCATCCTCCAGAGGCCATTGGATAGTCAGGTTTGGGCCCTCAGTGATGAGACATGTGGGGCCTCACAGGATGGGGGTGGAGCCGGCCCTTTCCTCCCCACCCCAACGAGACCCCCAAGTTGTCACTCACGAACAGCCTCTCTGGCACTGATCAAGCTGCCTAACGGCCATGATCCGTAAAACTCAGAAACAAATCTCAGAACCCAGTGAATTTTGGCAGAAATGTGTCCAGACCCGGCAGTAGTTTACTGTCACCAGTCCACCCCAGGGGGGAAAGGGTTTTGTCCCTCCACCTGCTCCCCCTAGGTGGCTTGGTGGCTGGCATCCTCCAGAGGCCATTGGGCAATCAGATTGGGGCCCTCAGAGATGAGACACGGGGGTCCTCGCAGGATGGGGTGGAGCTGCCCTTTCCTCCCTGTCCCAACGAGACCCCTATTCGCTGCCCATGAACGGCCTTTCTGGCTCCTGATCAAGCTGCTTAATGGCCATGATCCCAGAGACTCAGGAACAAATCTCGAAACCCAGCAGGTTTTGGCAGAAATTCCTCCAGATTTAATTGTTAAAATTTCAGAATTTTGAAATTGTGTGTTCACTACTGCAGCCATGCAATATCATATGTTATTCATAACCAGCAATAGAAAACAAACTGTCTACTGTTGCCTTTTCAGCAGATCTGATTGTCAGGGTAAAATCCCCAAAAATAATGGTGGGTCTGGTGTCAAAATATTTAATGTAATCAAAGTGGAGAGAGAGTAATGCGGAAATCATCTACCCCACAGGTAGGGGAGGGTGTGGGATGGGGGTATACTGGGGTTTTTGATGGTGGAGAATGGGCACTGATGAAGGTACAGGTGTTTCATTGTATGACTGAGACTTAAACCTGAAATTTTTGTAACTGCTCTAACAGTGATTCAATAAATAAAACTATAAAAAAATTTTAAAAAAGACATGACA